CTGTCCCTCTGTCCCTGTCCCCCCCATGTCCCCATGTCCCTCTGTCCCTCTGTCCCTGTCCCCGCTGTCCCCCAGCTGCTCTCTGTCCCCCCGTGTCCCTCTGTCCCTCTGTCCCTGTCCCTGTGTCCCCCCTCTGTCCCTCTGTCACTGTCCCCGTGTCCCCCCTCTGTCCCTCTGTCCCTCTGTCCCGTCTGTGTCCCTCTGTCCCTCTGTCCCTGTCCCCGTGTCCCCCCCATGTCCCCCTGTCCCTCTGTCCCTCTGTCCCCGTCCCCGCTGTCCCCCAGCCGCTCTCTGTCCCCGCAGGTACCGCTGGACACGCGAGGGTCTCCCGTTCCCGTTCCCGTCGCCGTTCCCGTCGCCGTCCCCGGGCCCGGAGCTGGCGGGGGTCTCGGTGTCCCCCGGCGGGGGGACCTTGGTCATCAACGCCAGCCTGGCCGGGCGGCTGCAGGGCCGGTTCCGCTGCGCCGCCAGCAACGCGCTGGGCACCGCGCTGTCCTCGGAGAGCCGCGTCATCGCCGAGAGTGAGCCCCAAAAAACCCCAAAATATCCCAAATCCACCCCAAAATAACCCCAGGCACCGCGCTGTCCTGGGAGAGCCGCGTCATCGCCGAGAGTGAGCCCCAAAATCCCCTAAATTCACCCCAAAATAACCCCCAATAACCCCAGGCACCGCGCTGTCCTCGGAGAGCCGCGTCATCGCCGAGAGTGAGCCCCAAAAAACCCCAAAATATCCCAAATCCACCCCAAAATAACCCCCAATAACCCCAGGCACCGCGCTGTCCTCAGAGAGCCGCGTCATCGCCGAGAGTGAGCCCCAAAAAACCCCAAAATATCCCAAATCCACCCCAAAATAACCCCAGGCACCGCGCTGTCCTCAGAGAGCCGCGTCATCGCCGAGAGTGAGCCCCAAAAAACCCCGAAATATCCCAAATCCACCCCAAAATAACCCCCAATAACCCCAGGCACTGCGCTGTCCTCGGAGAGCCGCGTCATCGCCGAGAGTGAGCCCCAAAAAACCCCAAAATATCCCAAATCCACCCCAAAATAACCCCCAATAACCCCGGGCACCGCGCTGTCCTCGGAGAGCTGCGTCATGGCTGAGAGTGAACCCCAAAAATCCCAAAAATCCCCTAAATAACCCCAAAATCCTCCCGACCCCCTCAGGGCCAGCGCGGGGGTGCCTGGCTGGTTTTGGGGTTCCCGGTGGATTTGGGGTCCCTGGAGGGTTTGGGGGGCAGGGGAAGCCCCCAGCGTGGGGGTCCCTGTCGGGTTTTGGGGTCCCTGTGGGTTTTTGGGGTCCCTGTCTGTGTTTGGGGCTCCTGTCTAATTTTGGGGTTCCTGTTTTTGGGGTTCCTGTGGGTTTTTGGGGTTCCTGTCTGGTTTTGGGGTACCTGTTTTTGGGGTTCCTGTTTTTGGTGTCTGTGTGGGTTTTTGGGGTTCCTGTCTGGTTTTGGAGTTCCTGTTTTTGGGGTTCCTGTGGGTTTTTGGGGTTCCTGTCTGGTTTTGGGGTTCCTGTTTTTAGGGTCCCCATGGGTTTTTGGTGTCCCTGTGGGTTTTTGGGGTTCCTGTCTGGTTTTGGGGTTCCTGTTTTTAGGGTCCCCATGGGTTTTTGGTGTCCGTGTGGGTTTTTGGGGTTCCTGTCTGGTTTTGTGGTTCCTGTTTTTGGGGTTCTTGTTTTTGGTGTCCGTGTGGGTTTTTGGGGTTCCTGTCTTGTTTTGGAGTTCCTGTTTTTGGGGTTTCTGTGGGTTTTTGGTGTCCCTGTGGGTTTTTGGGGTTCCTGTCTGTTTTTGTGGTTCCTGTTTTTGGGGTTCTTGTTTTCGGGGTGCCCGTGGTTTCGGGGTGCCCGTGGTTTCGGGGTGCCCCAGCCGCTGTCCCCCCAGACACGCCGCAGTGGCCCAAGGAGAAGGTGACCCCGGTGCAGGTGGAGGAGGGGGACCCCGTGGTGCTGCCCTGCGACCCCCCGAAAAGCGCCGTGCCCCCCAAGATCTACTGGCTCAACAGCCGTGAGCGAGGGGGGCTGGGGGGTGGGGGGCTTCCTCCTGCACCCCCTGATCCCGCTGTACCCCAAAAATCCTCCCCTGACCCCCAAAATCCTCTCTGAATTCCAAAATCCTCCCCTGAATCGCCCAAAATCCTCCCTGAGCCCCAAAATCCTCCCCTGAATCCCCCAAAATCCTCCCCGGACCCCAAAAACCTCCCCTGAATCCCCAAAAATCCTTCCCTGAACCCCAAAATCCTCTCTGAATCCCAAAATCCTCCCCGGACCCCGAAATCCTCCCTGAGCCCCAAAATCCTCCCCTGAATCCCCCAAAAAATCCTCCCCGGACCCCAAAATCCTCCCCTGAATTCCCCAAAATCCTCCCCGGACCCCAAAATCCTCCCTGAGCCCCAAAATCCTCCCCTGAATCCACCAAAATCCTCCCCGGACCCCAAAAAACTCCCCTGAATCCCCCAAAAATCCTCCCTGCACCCCAAAAACCTCCCTGGGCCCCAAAATCCTCCCCTGAATCCCCCAGAAATCCTCCCCGGACCCCAAAATCCTCCCCGAGACCAAAATCCTCCCCTGAATCCCCCAAAAAATCCTCCCCGGACCCCGAAAACCTCCCTGACCCCAAAAATCCTCCCTGACCCCAAAATCCTCCCTGAACCCCCAAATCCCCCCTGAACCCCCAAATCCCCTCGGACCCCTCTGCACCCCCACAATCCCCCCCACACCTCGGTCTGGTTTTGGGGATCCCCTGACCTGGGGCCGGTTTGGGGTCAGGCTGGGGTCAGTTTGGGGTCAGGTTGGGGTCAGTTTGGGGTCAGGTTGGGGTCAGTTTGGGGTCAGGTTTTAGGGTCGGTTTTAAGGTCATTTTGGGGCAGGTTTGGGGTCACTTTTGGGGTCACTTCTGGGTTTTCCCTCAGGCATCGTGCACATCGCGCAGGACATCTGGGGCAGGGTTGGGATCAGGTTTAGGGTCACTTTTGGGGTCAGTTTTGGGGTCACTTTTGGGGTTTTTCATCCCAGGCATTGTGCACATTGCGCTGGACACCCAGGTCAGCACGGGGCAGGTTTAGGATCCCTTTTGGGGTCACTTTTGGGGTCACTTTTGGGGTCACTTTTGGGGTCACTTTTGGGGTTTCTGTGTTGAAGGCATCGTGCACATCGCGCAGGATGCCCGGGTCAGTTTTAGGGTCAGGTTTGGGGTCAGTTTTGGAGCAGTTTTAGGGTCAGGTTTGGGGCAGGTTTGGGGTCAGTTTTGGAGCAGTTTTAGGGTCAGGTTTGGGGCAGGTTTGGGGTCAGTTTTAGGGTCAGTTTTGGGGTCAGTTTTGGGGTCACTTTTGGAGTTTTTCACCCCAGGCATTGTGCACATTGCACAGGAAGCCCGGGTCAGCTTGGGGCAGGTTTGGGATTAGTTTTAGGGTCACTTTTGGGGTCACTTTTGGGTTTTTTCCTGCCCAGGCATCGTGCACATCGCGCAGGACGCCCGGGTCAGTTTTAGGGCAGGTTTAGGGTCCCTTTTGGGGTCACTTTTGGGGTCACTTTTGGGGACACTTTTGGGTTTTTTCCCCAGGCATTGTGCACATCGCGCAGGACACCCGGGTCAGTTTTAGGGCAGGTTTAGGGTCACTTTTGGGGTCAGTTTTGGGGTCACTTTTGGGGCAGGTTTAGGGTCACTTTTGGGGTCACTTTTGGGGTCACTTTTGGGTTTTTTCCTGCCCAGGGATCGTGCACATCGCGCAGGACGCCCGCGTCAGCATGGGCCAGGACGGGTTCCTGTACTTCGCCAACGCGCAGGTCGGGGACAGCCACCCCGACTACATCTGCCACGCGCACTACCTGGGGCCCCGCACCATCATCCAGAAAGAGCCGCTGGACCTGCGCGTCTCCCCCAGTGAGCACACCCCAGAACCCCGGAGCTGCCTTCGGGGGACCCCAAAACCCCTGAGCCGCCTTCAGAGAACCCCAAATCCACCTTCAGGGGACCCCAAAATCCCAAATCTGCCTTCAGGGGACCCAAAACCCCTGAGCTGCCTTCAGAGAACCCCAAATCCTCCTTCAGAGAACCCCAAATCCACCTTCAGGGGACCCCAAAATCCCAAATCTGCCTTCGGGGGACCCCAGAACCCCAGAGCCACCTTTAGGGGACCCCAAAACCCCAAATCCACCTTCAGAGAACCCCAAATCCACTTTCAGGGGTCCCCAAAACCACAAATCCCCCTTCAGGGGACCCCAAAACCCCTGAGCTGCCTTCAGGGGACCCCAAAATCCCAAATCTGCCTTCAGGGGACCCAAAACCCCTGATCTGCCTTCATGGGACCCCAAAACCCCAGAGCTGCCTTCGGGGGACCCCAAATCCACCTTCAGGGGACCCCAAAACCCCAAATCCACCTTCAGGGGACCCCAAAACCCCAGAGCCACCTTTAGGGGACCCCAAAATCCCAAATCCGCCTTCATGGGACCCCAAAATCCCAAAGCTGCCTTCAGGGGACCCCAAAACCCCAAATCCTCCTTTAGAGAACCCCAAATCCACCTTTAGGGAGCCCAAAACCCCAAATCTGCCTTCAGGGGACCCAAAACCCCAAATCCTCCTTCAGTGGATCCCAAAATCCCAAATGCTCATTTAGGGGACCCCAAAACCCCAAATCCGCCTTCAGGGAATCCCAAAATCCCAAATCCTCAAGAATTTGGGGGTTCTGGGAGGGATTTGGACGGGATCCCCATGAACTGGGGGGATTTGGGGGGGATCCCCATGAATTGGGGGGGGGGGGGGGGGGATCTGGGGGGGATCCCCAGGGGGGGGGGGGCTCCAAGGAGGGGGGGGGGGTGATCCCCATGAACTTGAGGGTCCTGGGGGGGTTTTGGGGGAGATTTGGGGG